TGAATAACAGTAGAGTGATACAGAGAGATAAAGATTAGGGAGAGGTTCATGTGACTAAGATTGCATCTAAATTTTCCTAAGCTAGTAAATTGACTGATATATTTTGGAATTTTTTGTTCAGGTTTTCAATGTGGTGTGTAGATTTGGTAGGAGGGTGAATTAGGGTGTATCAGGGAGCAAAGAAAGAGGAATGGAAGCTCTCAAACAAATTGTAAGGCACATGTACCTTGGAGATAATCTGAACCTTTGTTTTAAGTCACAGAATTTTTAGAAACCTCAGATATTCTTGAACTAGACAAATAATAATAAAACAATGCTTCATTTATAAAACTACTCTGTGGTGTAAACTGGAATACCTTTGGGGGAAAAATGCCCAACTTTTTAAACCATAAAGTCCAAGGGGTGACTCTTCTAAAATTTGGCTTATGAAAAAGGGCTGTTGTTCTAAAAAGTCTCATATATTTTTTATATTCTCAAATTACTTTATCATGACTGGCTTGTCTCATCGCTCTGGTTAGCTCAGATTTCAGTTTTAAGAAATACAATAAATGAGAAAAATAACATTGGTTTGGTTTAAAACAATGTGGCTAGTGATGAAGTAACACAAAAGTTATTGATACGAATGTCTCATTTTCCACCTGCAAATAAACAGCTAGGAAACCATAGCGTTCTTTGTCTTTATGTGGCAAATGCAAGTAGAATAATCCAATACCTCTTTACAAATGTGGTAAATTCATGGCTCTTTCTTTCGTTGATGGTAGAGTTGGCATAATTCACGCTGGCTCCAATTAGTACCTCATTAGTAACTACCAGATAATTATTGGCCTGCGCTCAGATATTGGCAGATGCCTGATAAGGCACTTAGTGAATTTTTCACGAGTCTTTCTGAGAAAACCTTCAGGAGAAAATATTCTGAAGGCTGTAATTCTACTTTTCTTCCCATTTGAATCTTGATGCATTTTCAAAATCAAGTTTGTAATTTTTAATAGCATCATACTAGACTATCTTTCAGCCAAATATTTTACTATTTAATACATTTAGTGCCATTTCTACCTGTTACACATGTCTCTCTATCCAAAGTCACCACCAGTACACTTTAACGTGGACTTAATTTTGAATTAAGGTTAACAAAGCATTAGTCACCACATAAGTGACATAATTTTTTAATAAGTAGGAAATAAAGTCAATAGTTTCTAATAGATCTAATATTTTTTAACAATTTTAGCTTCAAACTTCAAAGACTCAAATGAAAGGCAAATATTTAATGCTGCTGTGTTTTTAAATAGTCACCTACCTAATCAAAATATATATATAAATTTTGTTGTACAATGAAATTTTAGTAAAAAGTAATACATATACAACCACCTAGCACTTTATATGGAGGCTAAAAATGAAAAGATTTGTGGTTACATGGAAAAATATTGACTGTCACAATAAAACTTTCAACTGTGCAACCCAAGAATGAGGCAGAACATTTCATTATTGATTCTTTGGGGGAGATATAACTTCTAAATGCTAAGTGTGATTTCAATCTGTCAACATTCCTTTTGCTGTAATTAAAATCCTAAAGTGTTCTTTAAATAATTTTTCACTTAAATTGCATCCTGATGAGTTTTTTATCTCCATAATTGGAATGTCAACACCTAAGTAAGTGACTCATCCAACTGCACTCTTCATACTGCAATGTTCTTACCCTTAAGAAAGCACCTCTAAAAACTTCCTGTCAGCATTGCTAATTAGAATGATGAAAAGATATATTTGTTTAAACGTCAACTGACAGGAATGTAGGTAAAATTATTAAGTGGTGTCACTTTGGTGCCTTTTACCTTTTCTCTTTTTAAACTCATTGCTTTATTCCACACTGGAACACACTGGCAGAGTATTACTTGATGATTAACAAAAATCCTTTCTTCCTTATCATTTCTCATCCTTTCCTCCTCCAGGGGTTTTTGCCTTAAGCTTAATGCCAGAGAAGGAAGCAACTTGACAAGCTAAACTGTTATTAACATGTAGACTTTATTTGGGATCTCTCTTTGAAACTCTTATTTTAAGTGATGTTTGGAAATGTAAACCCCTGATAGCAAAGGTGACATTAAGTTAGTGAAGATCAATAAAAATTCATTTATTTGTTCAGGAAAAAGTCTAATTCTTAAAAAGCTACCTGTTACCTAAAACATTTTGATGTAATTTGAGTCATTTGTGGCTTCTGCTATATCCATGTCATGTTTAACTATACTTGACCTCTTCTCTGTTATATCCTTGTCTGTTACTATTTTGTATATTAATTATTGTTGCTGCTGTGATTAGGTAACAGTAACATTAGTCATGTACACAGCTTAACTGATAACTTATAAAACTATACTTTTACTCAGTTTTTTAAGAAAATTGAAATCCTAGCAGATTGCAGGAATAGCCTCATATTTACAAGCAAATAACCTTCTATTTCAATTCAATTGGGATACATGTGAATATTAATTTATAAAACTACAGCCCATTTACTAGAAAATCTATTTAGAAAAATACAATTAAAGAAAACATTGATAGTGTAAAATATCTTATGCATAACATATAATTTTTAAATAATTACGTCTCATTCTAATTTATCAATATTTTCATAAAGGAGTATAATAATGTAATCTTAAATTAAATGTTTGATGAGAGAAAGCATATAAGATAAATATATATTTTTAAATAAATATTTTATGACCTGGTAAAATATTAAAATATTTATGCTGGACCAACCTTTGTGTCTATGAGATCCATCCATGTTGCTAAATTCAATGTGATTTTCATCAGCCCAGTAGAGTCTATGGTTAACATAATCTATTGTTAGTGCCATAGGTCTAGAAATCTTGGTTTCTATGACAACACTCTGATTGGTTCCATCCATTCCAACACGACCAATATGAGGATACTCGCAGCAGTCAATCCAATACAAATACCTAGGAAAGAAAATCCATAACTATTTTGTTTACAGATTCTCTGGGAGCAAAACATCAAACAATATATTACCTTTTTGCTCAACTGTTTCCACATTAATTCTTGCCATTTCTCTGAATTACAGCTTTTAAGAAGCATCTTTTGATGCAAAATTTCTTATGATGCTTTATTACATATCTAGTATGATTTGAAATATTCATATAACTTTTAAACATATGTTTATTTTAGAACACAAACTCATATATAACAATAATATTATATAATACTATCACAAATGTTAACCAATTATAGATGTTCAAAGCTAACATATATAAATTTTCAAAAGGTATCTATCAATGTTGAAGGAATACAATTATCACTATATATACTTTCTCTTTTGATGTATTATCTATGAAAAAGTCAAAAGGAATTATGGAGGTGCACATTATATTTCCTTAATATACATTGTTAAATATCGTATCCACTAACCAATGATGACTGTTTAAACTAATTAAAATAAAATAAATTAAATGAACCGTATTGCTCCTTGGTCACACGAGTCACATTTCGAGTACTTAGTAACCACATGTGTCTAGTGGCCATCATATCTAACAGCATAAATATAGAGCACTTCCATTATCATAGAAAGTTCTACCGGACAGCAGTGATTTGGATTATGTTATTAGAAGTTCTATATAGGACAGTTCAGAAAGTGGGGGAAAAAACAGTAAATGAAGTAAGTAATATTGATACTATATAAGTAGGTTGAGTTCAGTATAAATATTACACCTGATTAAATGCAAATAACGTATAAGCAGCAGATTACTTAGACATTTTTCTCTGTTTAATGAAGCCATTTGTTTTTTTGTTTTTTCCTCAAAGTAAGAGAAATTACTTTATGCTTTAGATGTTTCCTTGTCTATAAAAATAAAGATTTGAGTTATAGGATCTTTAATGTTATTTTCACATTCCAATTCTGAAAATGAAATCTATTAAC